GGGGCGGCGCTCCCACCGCCGCTGGTGCTCCGCCGCCTTGGTGATAACCAAGGTCATTACGAACCCAATCGCGAGTATAAAGTTTACAATCCCCCAGAGCGTCTTCACGCCTCCCACAATGCGGCCCAAAGGCTCCACCGCCAGCGACATGAACCCCAAAACGATGGCGTTTATCATGAGCCCCAGCGACCCCGCTCTCACGCCCGCAGCGTACGCATCCTCCCCTGCGTTCCCACCGTAGACCTCGCGTCCCATCCAATCGGTGCCGTACAAAAAGTAGGGAAACCACCCTATCCAGTTGACCGCTGTGACCAACATGAGCATCCACATGGGTTTCTTCAACTCCTTCAACGCACCGAATAGCTGAGAGAAGCACGAGGGTTGCACCTCCCCCTCCTCCACCTCACGTGCCGCCACCGCCTCGTCCGTCACGTAAATAAGCGCCACTGTCGCCAACACGAGCAGCAACAAGATGGAGAAGAAGAAACAGCTTTTCAGATTAGCGCAGAACACGTCACACGCTTTCGTTTCCGTGAACGGGAAGATCCTGTGCAGACCGTTCCACGACCCTGCCGCGTACCCCAGCACGTTGCCGATGGCCATGAAAAACGAGAAGAACCCGTTGGCCACTCTCGTCTTTTTATGGTCGCCGGCAGCCAGATCAGCTAAAAAGGCACGACAGGGTCCTTGCAACATGTTATTAGCCACGTCAAGAATCCAGAAACCTATGACGAAAAACGCGACCGCTCTGGGGCGTGTTTTTTTCTTCAAATCGTCGCCCATGGCGTGTCCTATATCCGCTGCGTAGCCGATGAGAAACACGGCGATGGCAACCGCGACGGAGCCTGCTAAGATGAAGGGACGGCGGCGGCCGAAGCGAGAGGTGGTACGATCGCTATAGTAACCCACAATGGGCTGCACTACCAGGCCGGAGATGGGCCCACACAGCCAGATGAAGGAGGCCCACACGTGTGGAACTCCTAACAGTTGCACGTAAGGGGTCAATAGGGAGAGCTGTAAAGCCCACCCAAACTGTATGCCCGCAGCTATGGATGCCACGGCGAACATTTTACGAAGTGGGCTGGGCTTGGGCTGAATGGTCTCCACGCTCAGGGTGGAGGTTGGAGGAAGCTCCATGGTATTGGTCAACTCAATTCACAGAAAGACCAAGAGGATCACAAGGATGTGTTAACAGTGTGTGTCCAAAGAAGGTTGAAGTGGGGGATTTTATAGCATGTGGACTACGTACACATGGACGGGGAAGTGTATAAGAATGAAATATCAAGTTTAATTTTTTTCCCTTTTAGGTTAATTTAGCTTGATTCTGAACAAAGGGTTATTATATGGAGAGAGAGATTAAGAGATTGCGCCATGTTTTCGTGACTGTTAAAATAGGTAGGAGGTGCATTTAAGGGATTATGATAACGGGGTTATTGTTTTGCATTCAATATTATGGCACTTAATGTTAGTATTAACAGCAATAGGAGTTTTGAAAATAAGAATAAAGACAAGGATTAGTCCCTGTCTGGAACACGGACTGAGGGAGGCACAACTCTAACGTACCATGCATGATCTTTGTCTTTTATATATGGTGGATAAAAATTTACATAAAAAAAGCTGTTTCAGCCACTTTCAGGTTTTAGGGTTATGTAAAATATGCTTGGGTTTATATTAGGGGTTTTAAATAAAAATGATATGAGGAATCAGGTTACATAGACCAGAGTGGGAAAGAGGGAACACCAAGATCGGTTTAGATTAATTAGCTCGCGGGGCTGTATCATGCATGATTGTCATTTCTGATTTGATTATAATATTTTAAGAAAGATTGTAAGGTCCGTTTGGTTTAAATGGAGGGAAGAGATTTTACAGAGAATATGAGAAAAATTAGAAATTTTTTGTTTGGCTCAAAGATTGGAAGTGGAGGAGAGCTGAGATTGGTTTTTTCTTGTTTGGTTTATAAGAGATGATTTTTGTAATCTTATAATATTAGATTTAATAACATAGATAAATATAAATATTATATTAAATATATTTTAAAATCTCGCTCTTTCTTTTAGATCCCTTAATTTAGTTTTGAAAATTAAAATTAGATTAGGAGTGATTTTACTCTCCTAAACTTATCTCTTAAAAATTGAACCAAATAAGAAATTTATTTACTTTAGATTAAATATAAAAAAAATTAAATATGATAACATAATTTTTAAATAGCATAATGTCACTTTATTTTTATGCTGCACATCCTTAATAATAATGGCAGATGCTAGTGTAAAGAGCGGATTAAGTGGTTCAGAGAAGCTAGAGTTTTAATGAGATTAAAAAAAAATCGTTCAAACAAAATGAGATAAAATTAATCAAATAACATCAAGTGTCAAACTTGGATAAAATCATGTAATAATTTTGTTCAGTAATTGAATTTTATAAATTTATTAATTATTTTGATAAAAGAAAATTAAAAGTGTTCTTTCCGGGATATCGTTTGATAAAGTGTCGTAATCAAATATTCCTGCTTATCTTAGTTAAATAGAAAATAGTTATTTGTAGGAAATTTTGAATCAATGAGAATACCGTACAAAGTCTAAAGAATTAATCATTGTTTAATTATCTACTTAGATTGGCCTCCTTGGAATGTCTAAAATGAGAAAGTCGACTATACCCTTTCTACAAACTTTTAGGAATGTCAAAATTAAAATTCATGTTAAATTTATATGATTTCCTTCTTAAAATAGTTGCGTTCATGACTAGGAATAACCGAATAAGGATAAAAAAAATCACTAAATATTTGAAAATTATATAAGTTTACTTGATATATTATCCTCTAACTTCCGTATTATCTTATTTGGTGGGAAAAAAAAAAACAAAAGATACAGATACAGCTTAAAAAGTATAATTGATACATTTTTTGAAGTAAAAAAAAAGTAATTTTAAATAGATAATTATTTTAAAGATTCAAGAAATAATTATTTTAAAACATATAAAACCAGTCAAATTAAATTTGTGCAAACAGAACTTTCATTCTAAAGAAGAATAGTTTAATTTATAATCAAAAGATGGATATTTCAAGAAAATTTTATGAGTTTCACGTCACTATCTAAAATCGAAAATTAGTAAGGCTTAGATAAATTTTAAATAAGTAAGTTGAAGTATTTTTCCTTTTTCTTTTCCTTATAAATTGTACTAAAGTTTCTCACTATTAGAAAAATGTCATTTTATTTTATTTTATTAGTAAAAATTTGCAGAAAATGTTGTAAGAATTTTATTTTGTTTCTTGTAGATTTTCTTATAAAAATCAATTCGCAAGTAATGTTTACTAAATAGTTAAAAAATTTCGCAAGTTACTTTTGCTGCGAATTTTTCTACCAATTTTAATGCGCAGGAAAAATAATTTTTTTTAACAAATTTATAAGGTTAATAATTAAAATATTTTTAATTAAAAATTTTATTTAACTAAATTAATTATAAATATATCATTATAATTAATTTTTATTTTCATTAAATTAAATATATAAAATTTAATAAATATAATAAATTAATGATAATGAGTTTTAATTTAATGATAATTTATAAAATTTTAAAATTAAAATTATTTACTAATAAAATATTATTTTACTAAATTATTTATAAATATTTCATAAAAATTAATGTTAATTTAAAATATTAATAAATCAAATATTTATTTTAATTAAATGTATAAATTAAAGATGATGAATTTTAATTTAATGATAATTTTTAAAATAAAATTATTTAATAAAGAACTAATTTTTTTAGAACATTGAATATTTTAAGAGTTAAAATAATTTATAATAATATAATTTTGTTATTCAATATAATGAATTAATCCTCTTTCTTAAGACATAATCTAGCTAATTAATATTTAAAGAGAATATCAAGTCTTACATCGATTGAAAATAAAATAATTAAAGAGTATATAACAAATATATAAGTTGGGACAACACTTACCTTACAAGTTGATTTTGTATGGTTGAGTGTTAAACCTATAATCTACGATCTAAGAGTTTAAAAGGTTATGTATCACATGTTGGAGGCATGGGAGCAAATTTCTGAATGTTTTGGATGAATTCATTGTGAGCATTTAAAAGTTGAAGAATTATTAATAGAATTTGCACAAAAATTACCTCTAAATTTTAAATTCACAATAAATTTTTTGTAGTAATTTCTTTGATTTTTTTTTTGTTAGAATTTTTTCTACAGAATTTCTTGCGAAAAAATTGGTAGAAAACTTTTCTACGAATTTTTTTCATACGAAATTTCACAGGAAAATTGCTTGCGAATTTTAAAATTCGCAAAACATATTATCCATGAAGGTATTACCTGAAAATAAAATTTCGCAAAACATCATTTTAGGAAAGCAAAGACATGTTTTTGATAGAAGTGGGCTTGGTTTTAGTCAAAGCATGAACATGCCATCAAAATCAAAGGAAAAAGTTTTCAAAAGAAACCAATCTATTAGAAAATTCAAAGGCAATTTCATGAAATAAACTATTTTCTTTTATTTTTGTAAAAAAAGGACATAGAATGAGAAATTGCTATTCCAAAAAATATGATGTTCCAAATGGTGAAATGTTTTGGACTATAACATGCCAAAGGCTGGGAACTAACCATCAAGGACCCTTCACATGGGTACCTAAATCAATTTTCTGACTTTGTTGTAGGAATGCTTGAGAGCCAAAAGTTTGCTATGGTATCTTGATAGCGGCTGCTCAAGACACATGACTGGAGATCTTTCAAATTTTTTAAGTTTGAAATTAAAGCATGAAGGATTTTTTACATATGGTGACAACAACAAAGGGAAGATTCTTGGTTGTGGAAATGTTGGTAACTCTTCTTCCTCAACATTGATTGAAAATGTATTGCTTGTTGAAAGGCTGAAACATAATTTGTTAAGTATAAGCCAACTAAGTGATAAGGGATTTAAAATTGAATTTGATAATTCTTGTTGTTTGATTTGTGATCAATTGACTAAAGAAATTAGATTCATTGGAAAAAGAATTGATAACATTTATATGCTAGACTTAGAGCATTCAATCAAAATTTCTAACACAAAATGCTTGATCACTAAGGAAGACAACGTTTGGCTTTGGCATAGAAGGGTTGCACACATACATATGAATAACTTAAACAAATTAAGTAGAAAAGAGTTAGTAATTGGATTACCTAAACTCAAGTTCAGTAAGGATAAACTATGTGATGCTTGTCAAAAAGGAAAGCAAGTGAAGGCTAGTTTTAAAAGCAAAAATCTGATTTTCAACTTCTAGGCCTTTACAACTAATTCACATGGATTTGTTTGGTCCTTCAAGAACCATGAGTCTAAGAGGGAATTACTATGGGCTGGTTATGGTAGATGACTATTCAAGGTTTACTTGGGTAATGTTTCTTGCTACTAAGAGTAATGCCTTCAATGCTTTCAAGAAATTTGCTAAGCTTGTTCAAAATGAAAAGAACACAAGCATCACCTCAATTAGGAGTGATCATGGAGGAGAATTCCAAAATGTTTCGTTCCAAAAATTCTATGAGGAACATGGCATTGATCACAATTTTTCAGCTCCTAGGACTCCTCAACAAAATGGGGTTGTGGAAAGGAAAAATAGGTCTCTTGAGGAATTAGCTAGCAGAACAATGCTAAATGAGACTAATTTACCCAAATGTTTTTGGGCTGATGTAATTAATACAACATATCATGTATTAAACGAAGTTCTAATTAGGCCTATTCTAAAAAGAACACCTTATGAGATTTACAAGGGTAGGAAGCCTAATATCTCATACTTCAAAGTATTTGGTTGTAAATCACTACAAGAAAAACTGTTATTATCTATGAAATACTACCTATGAAATTTTTTCCGTAGATAATGTTTAGTTATCTACGGAATATTACCTACGAAATTTTTTTCATAGATAACCCACGAAAGTTGTTATCTCTGAAAAATTCCATAGGTAACGTTACCTACGAAATTTTCCGTAGATAACTCACAAAAGGTGTTATCTACGGAATTTTTTGTAGATAACCCAAGAATAATAATAATAAGTTTCGTGGGTTATCTACGGAAAATTCCATAGGTAATGTTACCTACGGAATTTTCCATAGATAATCCATGAAAGTTATTTATGGATTTTTCCGTAAGTAACGTTACCTACGAAATTTTCCGTAGATAACCCATGAATAATAATAATAAGTTTCATGAGTTATCTACGAAAAATTTGGTAAGTAATCGTTACCTATGAAATTTTTCGGAGATAACCCACGAAAGGTGTTATCTATGGAATTTTCCGTAGGTAACGTTACCTACAGAATTTTCTGTAGATAACTCACGAAAGTTGTTATCTATGGACTTTTTCGTAGGTAACATTACTTATGAAATTTTTCGTAGATAACCCATGAAAGTTGTTATCTATAGAATTTTCCGTAGGTAACGTTACCTACGGAATTTTCTGTAGATAACCCACGAATAATAATA